ATGTTTGAAATTTCTACTTAAGCAGCTCTATTATTATTTTGCTGTACTATGTGTAATTTATTTATGAATATTTTTTTTATTTGTAAATTAATATCTTAATTGTTTAAATATTTCTCTTATCATGGTCATATATAAATATTTTATTTTTAATTATGATCAAGTTAATTTTAATTCAATCACAGTTAGACCATTAACTTAAAATTATTACCTCAAATAGTTCAAAATTTTCAATAACTTTTGGATAAACTGTACTCATCATTTTTAAAAATATGAAAAGAATAGTCATCATTATATTATATAAAAAAATAATTTACTTATGAGTAAAATACTATTTTTTTGGAATCATTTTCTTTAACTCTTTGTATTGTTTAGCCCCTATATATAAGGGTTATTTACTCTAAATTATTCTTAATTTTTAATCAAGTCTAGCATGGACGATAACTAAATAATTATCCAAGGGTATTGTTCTATTTATTATATTTATCTAGCAGCAAAGTTGAGAATTCATTCATGCCCTAATTTTATTTTTAAAGTTATTTTTAATTTAATTTACTTTAAAATTAATTACCTTATTTTATAAAAAATATAAAATACATTTTTGTTAGATAATCAAACAATGTAAATGACTTAAAACTTTTTTAAAAAATAAATGGGTCTTAACATATAAAAATCAATATTAAAATATATTTTAAATATTATTTTGAGTTATTTTATTGATTAAAATTGACAAAAATATGAAGATATAAATATTTTTAATTTTTAAAAAAGATAACTATAGTCATGCACTCAAATATGTAGTATTTTATTATAAAATGACACAATAATTAAAGAATTAATTAATATTCATTATATTTTATATATTTTTTAAGAAATATTATTTCTTATTCAAGTATTCGGGCTAAGCCCAAAAATATTTTTTAAAAATATTATTTTCTTTAGGCTTGGCTTTAAATTTTTCGGGTGGGTTTAGGCTAGTTTATCAGACTTAGCCCAAATTATTGGCTCTATCTAGAACATGTAATTAAACACTTCTAGCCTTTAATATACACATGCATTAACATTAAACAACATTTTTCAAAGTTCCAAAACATTCAGCAAGTCCAAAAGACAAACTAGAATTTTGGCCAACATATGCACACCCAAAATAAAACATGCAAGCTCTTATCTTGAAGCTTTCTATCATGATCATCAACATGCAAGACCATAATCAAGCAAAACTTAAGCATTTCATCTATTATATACCCCTTAAGCTTTCATCCAATGAGAGAAGAAGATGATCAATTCATTAAAACTCACTTGCAATGCTAGAATCTAAGAAAATGGAAGAAAACATAAAGAAAGTCATTATTACCTTTGATCCTTAGCCTTCATCTTCTAGGTTCTCTTCTTCTACCTCTTCTACTCTCTCTAAGGCCTCAGAACACTCTTTTATTCTATCTCTAAGAGTTGCTGAATGAAAATCACAAGTGAAAGGGAAGAAATGGGGTTGTCATCCATTTAAAGAATTTGGCTTCCTTAGTAAAGCCTCTCCAATGGCTTACTTGTAATTATGGCTTCCACAGTGTCCTATTTCTCAACCATTCTCTCACTTGTATTTTCTTTCATTCAAAATTATAATTCTGAACCATCTACCCTCATCAAGTGATAAGTGGCATGTTGTATGTGGAAGGGTGTGGTCCTACTTTGATTTCTTAACACTTTCTTTAGTCATGGCTTGATAATTTATTTTTTTTTCTTCCTGACGAATTGTATTTTTTTGATATATGATTGGGCACATTATAACACTTACCTCGAGTGTTATCTAAAAATTATACAATTTAAATAAACTAAGTGTAGTTAAGGAATTAATCTTAAAACTAACTTAGGAAACAAATCATTTAAATCACTACACAAATACACCATCGCAAAAAAAAAAAAAACATTTAAAACCTTTAGAAAAAAATTATAGGTTCTACCTATAGCACATGGAAGCAAGCTAAGTGAAAGTAGGGTAAAAAAATGCTGCCATGATAATATTAAATTACTGTCATGATAACCCTCCAGGCCAACTTTCGGGAGGCACCATTCTACTGTTCGACCTCTAATTGAAGTGATTTTAAAACTCACATATTAATTTTAATGATTAGTAGTAGTTAACTAAATTTCAAAAATATCTAATCGTCGAATTAAAATTTGAACATGTTACAAGTTTGTCATTTTTACTATCATGACAGCACATTCAGACTAACTTTCAGAGTGCATCATTTTGTTATCTGACCTCCGATTGGAGTGATTTTAGAGCTCACATGTTACATTCAAAGGGTACTAGACGTTACCAAATCTAAAAAAGATTCAATAGTCAAATCAAAATTCGTGTGCATCCCAACCTTATTAATGGTTGTTGTCATGACAACATCTCTGGACCAACTTTCAGAGCATGTCGTTTCTTCGTTCGATGTCCTATCAAGGTGATTCTAAATCTCACACTAAGATTATAAAATTTTTTACTTGTGACTAAAATTTTAAGAAAATTCAACAGCCAGATTGAAATTTGAACACCTAAATGTAAAAGTGCAGCTTTATAATGAAAACCATTTTTAAAATTGTTTAAATCTCATTCTTATGGTCACAAACCTGTGGGAAACTTTGGACATGTCAAATATGATTAGGAGTATCTGATAGAACATTTAAAGGATGGAAAAACCTCTTATATCAACATTTGACTACCTGAGTACTTTTTTTCAAAATGGATCCTAAATTGCCAAAATTTACAAATCACACAAGAGTGGCCAAAAACCATTCCAAACAACATATACACATATGAATACATATGCTAAACATTATTACTTAGCTCAGAGATCTCCATAGGCCTCATGCACCCACTCTCTCTATTCAAGGTGTATGTTTACCTATAACACACCATTCACAATGCAACTACTTTGTATTTTCTTATAGAATCACAAATATACCAAAATAAATATTTGCTTGTAGTGAAAACTTGGTCTACCAAATAAATTTATCAAAACCACACACTATAACCAAGTTTTGTAGCCAAAGTCTACAAGCAAACAAAAATTCATACAAAGCCATACAATCCACACATATTCACACACACACACACATATACAATCACATCCTATTGGCACTCTAATCTTAAATATATTACAATAGATTTGCTCAAAAGAAAGGGGTTGTAATTCTTTACAATCCACAAACAACCCCTAGCTCTGCTCTCTTCCTCGTCCACCACTCGTTCCTTTGCCTAGACATGAAAATATTGAAAAAAAAAGGTGAGACAACCACAGCCTCAGTAACAAAGAAATTTACATTTATTATTATAAAGTAAGCCATAGTTGAATAAATGAATAATAGATTAAACATAACATATAATTTAATCATTTAAAATGCATGAATGCATGACATAGGCCAATATGACCTTTCCTGATTGACAGAATACCCCCTGGCATTCTTTAGCTCGTAGGTAAACCTTATACCTACTTGTACCTCCACAGGCACAAAACATAATCTAAAACATGATCAAATCCACCTAACTACTTGTGCTCCTTCAATGTGAATCTTAAGCAGCTAAAGTTAACTCCTTCCCAGTGCCAGCTCGACTTACTCTCCATGTGAGGGCTACCTTAGCCTAAGCACTAAACCTTACATTTCATATGTCGAATTCCCTCCCCCACTGAGAGGTGTCAAACACTCAATCTACTAACTACTTTAGTACACTGAGCCCACAATATGAAAGGTAACACTGAGTACTGGTAGTATGTCATAGAATATCACAAGTTCACACCTACCCATTAGTGAACTCCCATCGACATCATGCCTTTCACTATTATCTACCTTCTTTTAGTATTGACCACTTCAACACTCTAAAGTAATATAATAAATATCACTCCTCCCTTAAGAAGTTTCTTAGCCTATGGTACCCAACCCAGTTACACTACTTTAAGTACAACTTCTATTCTCTATAATTACAATGCATGCAAACAACCTTATTTTTATAAAAACATTATCATTAAACAAATATAAAACATATATGCACTATTATTCAAGTAGCACCCCATAAGTCTTTATAAAATACAATTAATTGCATGTAATCACTTAAAACACGTAATTCATGATAGTTAGTAATATTTATTCAAAAATAGCTAAACAAAGCAATAAGAAATATAAATTCTCCTATTACTTCAACCCTTTTATACCAAAAGTATTTACCCTTGTACAAAATGAAACTTGGCTTTTCCCTTAATTTTTGAACAAATTCCACCAACAATTACTACAATATATAAGCGATCCACATCACTTATCATGGCAAATAGCATAAAAGAAGACTATAACTCATGCCACATAACTTGGGTCAATGAGCTATAATCCATTTCAATAGTCCATATATTAAACTAACCATTCATGTAATATCACTTAATCACTAAAACTATGTATTAGCCATTATTAAGCCAATTTTCAAACCATATAATTTTTAATCAACCAAAAACCTTCACTTGGCATTACTAACTTTTACAATTAGTCATTATAATGAAAACCAAAGCTTACTTTAAATCTTATTGGATTCAAATAGCACAATTATAACCAAATAAATAGGCTCAAACTATTAAAGAGTGAGATCCAATCTCTTAGGGTTTGATTTTTGCCCTAAAACTTCCTTTTTCATCCAACTACCTACTCAAAATATTGGAGCACTATATAGAAACTCAAAACAACCTTCCAAGGATCCAAAGAAACCAAAGATTATAAGAACAAAGCCTTTGGGATTAAAATTTAAAATTCACCCCTTCCAAAAACTCAAGAAAACTAAGAGGAAAGAAAGAGGATTGAAGTATGGAGCTTACCTACTGTGTAATTGAGCTCGCAAGAGCCACAAAGCCTCTCAAATCCGAGCCCTAGCTCCCTCTCTTCCTTTTCTCTCCTCCTCCTCTTCTCTCTTGGTCTTGTGTGTTTTTTTGCTTCTTTGCTCTAAGTTTCTGCGTTCTTTTCCCCTTTAAAAACTGAACAAAACAATTTGGAAAAAATTACAAGGGCTCAACATTTTTTATTATAGCATAAAAGCCCTGGGCAACTTTAGTAATTTTTTTCATAATTAAAAATAAAATAAAACTCAACTTTTTCTAAGTAAAATTCAAACTCTGGCCCTTTATCAAATTATTCTTAATTTTAATTTAATTATAGATATTTTATTTTAAAATAAATTTGAGTCTTAAAATTTTTAGGATGTTACACACATACTTTCATAGAATATTATTCGGATACTTTTCCTAGATATACTACTTAGTTGGACTACTCTTCATATATAAGCTAGACTTGCCTTCATGAGCGCCAATACTTCTCGTAAAGCATGCAATTACCTATAGCTTTTCCTATGACATGAAATACCCCTATCAGGCATCCTAATGTTGTACTCTAATGTTAGAAATGTAGGATGTTACAGGTAGTCATTCACTATGAAGTTTAGTCCATCATAAACTCCTTAGTCAAGTTATTTTTTTGGATTAATGCTACCCTTGAAGGTAGGGTACTTCACCTTTTGGTCAGATAAGTTAACATCAAGTTTTGAGCTCTTTTTGCTTTTAAGAGGAGGGGGATTCTCATCCTCATCATGGAAAATGATGGAATTTGGCTTAAAAGCACAAGATCTAATACCTAAAACTGTTAATTTTGCTTAAAATTTCCACAAAATGATTGAAAATCATAGAATTTGGCCTAAAAACATAAGATTTTTTTTTCCACAGATTTCCTGGACAAAACAGAGCAAAAGCAGAGGTAAAATCAAATGGAAAAAAAATTAAACACACCAAACAATCAATCAAAAATCAATTTAATTCAACTCCCTAGCAATGATGGCAAAATTTGATAAGCCTAAGTCATATTAGCCTCAAATTAACTAAGCAAACACCTTAATGTATATAGGGAGTAACCTAGGTCAAGTCTTCTAGCGAGTTGGATTTGAGATTGATTAAGAATGAATATCAAATATGTTATAAATGATGAAAGAAATTGGTTTGATTAATTTTCTAAAAATGCAATTAAGACTCTAGCTAATATTTATGCAATTTTAGTTTTGAGAGAAAGTGAGTAATCAAATGAAAGTATGTTTGCGACAATGAATGGAATTAGTTTGCTAAACATCATTCTCATTGGCCAAAGTTTGTTCAGGAGCTATCTCAAACGTAGCAAACATAGTCACACACAATCCTAACAATTAGTGATTATGTAGTGAGCTACGCTTGCATCATTAAGCATCCAATGTGTTATTATCCATTCAATTAGCAAATAACAGCCCCTAAATAGTGCCTCACCAAGGTTCAATTCCAAATTAAACCTACTTAAGTCTTGCCAAAGCCTCGCAATGTAACCACACAATAGCGAGAACCTTGGACCTTCAACAATTCAACACAACCAAGCATTTAATCAGTGAACTATAAAATTTGGCAGCAAATTTCCAGAAATCAAATGACAATATAACAAGTATTCTCATACAAAATATCATAGACATTTAATAAAAAACCTTATGTGCAATATCACAACTTCACAAATCCAACTAGAAATAGAGAAATTGCAAGAAGAAATTAAGAGGAAACTAAAATGTAAAAGCTTAGCCAATGTGCAGCTCCCTTGAACTCAAGCTTCTTCCATCCTTCTCCTAAGAATCAAGAGCCTGTTAGCCACACAAATCCATCTCCAAAACACCATCAAATAGCTTCAAAAGCTTATCCACGGCAGCCACTAAGAAGAGGAAAATCGCACAAGCTAAAGGAGAAAGAATGGATGAACAAATGTGGAGGTTTGTCATGGACGGAATGGATAGATGGATATGTTCCGTTTGGATTCTAAAATAGGAGAAGAAATTTGACAGAAAATGGAGGAAGAAGGATGAAGTTTAGGTCCAGAAATGTGGAAGAAAATGAAAAGAATCGAAGGGGAATCGCGTGCGTAAGTGAGAAGCTTTGTGCTGATTGTGAATTGTAGAAGCATAGAACGGTTAGCACGTGACTTTTTTTTTTTTTTTTTTTTGAAGAGAAGAGAGAATGTTGGAATCAATTGAATTAGGAAGTCAATTTTCTGAATGTTTGTGAGGGGAATAGAATGAGTTTTGGAACTCTGAATGAATCTGGAAATGGAGTGAACGTGCTCGTCTCTTTTGTTTATTTATTTTGTGCATTAATTCCAGACTGGAAAATCAAGATGGTGATGATTCAAAAGCTAATGGAATGGAAAATAAAATGCAAGTGAAAAAAATGCGTAGGAATGGAAATTGGTAGGGAATTGGCTAGTAACTGTGAAAGGATGAAATAGAAGTTCAATGGAGTAAACCAGGGCTAAGGAAAATACTAGAATTAAATGGAGGAGAAAAAAAAAATTAAAAAAACGTCTTCTCTTTTCCATGTGGCCCTACAAATAAAAATAATAAAATCAATAAGAAATGTGTTTTAAGAATTAAAAATAATATATAATAAAATCTAGAAAAATATGCAATAAATCTCAAAAATTCTCTAAAAACATTCCTTTTCCCTTTAACCACAAATATTATCCATATATTTTAAATTATATCAAAACAAGTGCTCAAAAGCTATAATAAGGGAAGTAAAGGTATGTAAAATATATGAATTATCATGAATACTTATACCAAACTTGTGAGCAATATAAAATTAGTTTGACTTTGCTGATTGAAGAAATTACTTATAGAAAGTTGTGATTGAATAAATAAGTTTATATGCTGCAAATTTATTCAGGTTAACCAGTTTTAACTAATTTTATTACCGTGCGTGAGGTAGGTATTAATGTTTTGTATTAAAATTAATGAAAGAATGTACATTATTGTATCATATTTTTTTTTCATAGTAACATATTTCTTATAATCTATAGGTTCACATTAGGGCTGCACACAGGACTGACCCGACAGGACTTCAACCTAACCCAAAGTCTGGTCCTTTTTATGAGAAGGACTAAATCAAGCAACTTGTGGCTTAGTTTGATCCTAGTATAACTTGAAGCTGAATAGTACTAGACTGGCCCAGTAGGACTAGGAGACTGATCTCGGTCTTATCTAGCATCTCACTTTCTTTTCCTTTTTCATCCATGAGAGGTAGCAATTTATTTCAACATAATAAACTCAATTAACATAATAAAATTACTTATAGTCATATAAAATTTATCACAACAATAACAATTATAAATTAACAACAATCTTTAACAACAACAAAAAATATTTCAGTTATAACACAAATTATTCAAATTAAAAAACCTTCAACAACATTAAACAACCTTCAAAATGTTTAAAGTCCATTACACCAAGTTAACAATAAATTTTACCAATAAAAGGAGAAGACTGATATTAGTCAATGCTAGATTTTTGCTCAATATTCATGATTTCACAAGTATAAAACACACAAAATACTAATTATTATTATAAATTAACTTATTGTAATAATAATTAATAAATTAATTATAATTATACTAAATAAATTTATAGGACCGGACCAAGTGGTCTAGATGCTTGGTCTTTTGTCCAGTCCAACTCAAAGAAAAAGTCTAGTCTTTTTGGTCTTGAAAGACTAATTTTTACTTAGACTGGAGAAGATTGAGTTTGTCTCGAGTTAGACCCGAGTGTACTGGACTAAAGAACTTTTGCGCAGCCATAGTTTACATATCCTGTTATTCAAATTTTAAGGGCGTTTTATGTAATTTGACATATAAAAGTACGCCTTGTTAGCGGTGGGGCAGTGGCGTAGTGGCGTGGTATGGCCTAATATTGTTGGTTTCCACTTTCCAATATAGTTGCAGAAAGCTAAGTGGATGTGACAAAGCGAAGTCACTAAGAGCGACTATATATATTAATGTCTTGTCACATTATTTATGTCGTTTTCATGTCATCTCCCAACAAAGTGAGGTTCTTTTACTTTACCAATCAACCCTCCACAATATATTCTAGATTCTTATATAAATGGAAACACACTCAGACCACAGATCAGATATATTGATTTGATGCCCCTGGATATTCTAGTTTTAGTTCTTTCAAATTCATCATCAGAAGCCATTAAGGAGACTAGCTAGCTTCATTCTACTGCAAGCACCTGCATAAGTTTCTTTAAGTTTCAGAGACATAATACTTACACAGATATTTGAATTGACAAGAACCTTGAAGGGAATATGATATTGAAATTCTGTTTTATGCTGTGGTTAATTAACTGCCAGATAACATGCCAATTGTTCTTTTCACCTATCAATAGCTATAAAGTGTTTCCTCTTGCACAAGATTTCTCTTTATAAGAAACGACACAAACCCTCTAATTAAAATCACTGGGAAGATATAGTATAGTGGAAACCTGTCATAGGAAGCGTACAAGGATGATTGAATCATATTTTTCCATGTTCAAGAGTTGTTACACATATATTTCATGATCTTTGTAAAATTTCTTCAGTATTGAACGCAACAATCTTGCATTAGATTACTAAAATAGTTCTTTAGAAGCTTTAAGCAGAACTAGGCTTCTGTAGATGATTCACTATTTGTCTCACAGACTTGTAGGTACCCACCACAGCAATGAATGGTCCTATCAGTAGAATCCCCATAATGATCATCAACTCAAACCCAAATCTTTGAGTAGCTTTATTAATCTTTAGGTAGCACAAGGAAGGTAGCAATAATGAGCCAGTGACACCCAAGAAAGCACCAATAAAGGCCATTAGGTATCCAAAAAAGGGAAAGAATAGTGCAACAAGTACAGTGCTTATCAAAATACTTGTTCTAACAATTATACTAATAGGCCTACTCTTCTGGTAGAAAGGCAATTTGCTCTCAATTGCATTGGCAATTGGGGTAATTATAATTGTATAATTAGTGAAGGGATTAATTAATATAGTGTATATTGCTACTTTAGTGCTTACTTCTCTTGTTGGAAGATTTAAGGTCACTTGAGACTTCAAATATTCTCCAAATATAATGTAGCCTGTGAAGGCCATCAGTCCATAGGTTATGGTATTTAAGATAAACCAGACAAGAAGAACCTAAAAGTGAACAACATGAATGCTTCAATTCTACCTACGAGTAAAAATAAAAATGAGAGTGAATCTAGTTAAAATTTTCAATTTTCTGACATGAATTTTGTAATAGTTCTAATATAAATTCATATTATCATGTTCTACAATATAAGTGTTTCTTATTGTTATGTCACCATCACATATTGTCATGTTTTGTACATGCTATGCTTGTATTTAAGAAGCTAATATCAAATGTCTAAAGCACTGAATCAAAGTCTAGTCTTATCAATTATATGTTACCACTAGACAATTTTTCCGTTTCTGGTCTACTTTTGCAACTACAGCTACAACATGTTTGTTACCTTGGGAAACTGTCTTGTATCTTTCATGGAACTGCGTAGGGTTGGAAACACAGCGTGTCCAAAATAGCAAAATGTAAAGAAACTGACAGAAGCAGTCAATCCTTCCAATTTCAGAATTTTTCCTCTTTCATGAAAGTCCGCACCATCAAAAGCTCCCACCCACATAACACAACCAACCAGAATAACTGAAGCCAGAACACCACCAACAGAAACATAGGCCAAAACTCCTAAGCTTCTGAGCCATGTGGTTGGTAATATCACCAGGGCTGTGAGAAGCAGAAAGCCTTGTTTCCCTGCAATTCTAAGGCCACATACTTTAAAGCTCATGTTTGGGAATAACTTCTCCATGTTGTCACCTTCTAGTATCAGAAACTCTGTGGCCACTAGATACAGCTTTAAGTACATGAAAATGGATACTATGGCTCTGCCTTTGTATCCAAAAGCCTCCTCTCCTATGTCAGGGTAGGATTTGATGAGGGGACGCACATCCATACACCTGTGTAGAAGCATCCCTGTGTACCAACAGAGGATGGCAACAAGAAATAGCAGAACTAAACTCAACCACCCTCCTTGAGAAACTGCATAGGGCATTGAAAGTATCCCAATACCTAAAATGTAAAAATTTCACCACCGTTAGAATCCCAAGAACTACACTTTTTGAACACATTGCCATTAAACACACATGATTTATATGTTAGTAAATGGGTCAAGCGTGTGCGTGAGTCATTTGGAATAGCCGAAAGAACATCTTTTAGATGACTTAAGTGAGTTGTAATCCAAATTTTACAAAGTAACTAGTGTTATAAAATAGGTTCTGTCAATTCTGAACTTTGATGTCTGCATATTTCCTCATTAAGGAAGAACTTTTAAATGCACAAAGACATACTTTCTAACTGAAGAACCAGCCATGGCAGAAAGAGAGAGAGAGAGAGAGAGAGAGAGAGAGAAAGACAGTACATGAAGATATTGTGGGCTAAAAGGTGACTGGATTTGAATCAGAACTTTGGAAAAGGTGATCTCTTCCAACAAGTAGTGGAATAATTCAAAGACTTTTTGGTTGGTGATGAGGTTCTACTTATGCTTTCATAGAATATTTATTTCTGCATATATGTTTGCTGATCATCAGCATTGGAGAAGTATCATGTTATGCTCTACGAAAACAAAATCGTTTTAATGATTTTTTCCTGAAAAAGAAGAGAGAAAAACATCGGGGGTTGGGAGGGGGGGGGGGAGAGACCTGACAAGGAATTGAGTCCACAAGTCTTGAAAAAGGTTGTTCCTCTTCTAGGGATCTCTGAATGTTGATCTCCAAGTTGGTTTTCCATCTCCATGTTATGTGTTTTCAGGCAAAAACCAGCCCCCTCTTACCCTTATTATATATATCTTTGTGTCCTAATAATGCAAGTTTTATTGGCAAAGAAGAAGTTATTCAAACTAGTTTTTTTTTTTTTGGTAGAATTATTCGAACTAGTCAAGAGTCTGTCATACGCACCAATCTAAAAAGTAATCATCAATGGTTTTCGGCTTGGCCGTCGATCGGGCCCTCGAGGTAGCACGAGGAATGCTATCCAGTCCTCTGACGCCTCTTCGGGAGGCAATGGATGGAGAACCTTCTCAAAGCCATCGCTTTCCGCAGCGGCGGTAAGCAACACAAGAACCACCCCCGAATCAAAACCGAGGCGCAACGCTTCGAAGGGACGAGGCATGGGGACGATTGTGTGTTCGGCAGTTCGATACTCGGGCACGGAGCCAGCCAACACGGACAATCCAAGCACCACTCACACGCCCGCTCGTTCAAGCGGACCGACGCCCCCGCGCCAAGAAACGAACTTATGATTAAACTGTTAAAAAATAAAAAAAAATAGAAAAATGTTCACATGTTATTATTAATTTTTAAATATATTTGATGCTTGTTTAGTAAATTCATTTAAAAAAATAAGTTAATAAATAATTTTCTATGTAAGTCATGTACTTACAAAAAGCTAATGAACATTTGGTCAAGCGTAAGAAATTCGTTTCCTTTTACATAAGGATACAAGAGTTCAATATATTACGAAGGAAACTAATCGCACTTGAATTATTGATATCGACCCGACAACATGTCTAAATTGAAATTAATATTACATAAAAGATAGTTATTAAAAAAAGGGTGGGAACACATGGTTGCGTGAATGGTTCTTCTTGTTCCCATTTCATGCATTATCCATTGCCTTTTTGATGTAACATTTTTTTTTCAGATTTAATATCTTATAATTTTCTAATCATGGACATTTTTTAAGGGAAAAAAGAAAATATAATCTTGTTATTTATGTCCTTTATTTCCTTGAATTTCATTTATCACCTTTTCTTCCTTATTATCACAATTAAGTGGAATCTCTTTTAAGACTTGACAACCTAATGCGGACAAATCCTCCACCATTTTACTTCTTTATGTAATGCTTTTATATGTACACAAATATAGTACCATCAAGTTGCCTAAAAGCATGGAAATCCAGCACACAAGAAGTGGATTGAAACTGAGATTGAGAATTAGGGCTTGTTTAGTTTCTATTCTCATTTTTTGTTTTTAAAAACTGATTTATAATATAGTTTTTAAAATTGTTTTTAAAACAAAAATAAAATAAAAATCTATTTGGTTATGTAATTTAAAAACAGTTTTAGAATTAAAAAATGAACTGATAATGATGATTATAGGCAGTTAATAATAGTAATTAATAATAAAAAATAGTTAAGATAACTATAATTTTTAATAATCAAATGTAATGTATTTTAAAAATAAGAAAAATAAAATGAAGACAACCTAAAATTATTTCTATTTTTTTGTTTTTAAAAACAAAAAAAATGAAAACAGTTTTGAAAACAACTAAATGAAAAACACTTATCCAAATAAATTTTTAAATTTTTTTATTTTTAAAAGAAAAAATTAGTTTTTAAAAACAGAAAACAAACAGGCCCTAATCTCTAATTTCACTCACATAATTCCTATAGAGAGGGGGAAAAAAAAGATTTTTAGAAATCAATCTCCAATTTCACTCTCAAATATAGGTTCTCTCAGGTTAACTACATCTTGTTTATCATTTTTCTGGTTTTCATCACATAATTACTCATATTTTGCTGCAACACCCACTCAGCCTCAAGTGAAGGAAATTGCAAAAATTAGCGTGTCTCTGGTTCGTGTTTCTTCGGGGGGTTTCGTCGTAGGTTTGTCGTTCCTATCTAAGCCCTTTTCTACAATTTGGTGTCTCTGGAATTCCTTCCATTTATGTGAATGAATGAATTAATGTGAGATCCTTTTGTCTTCGGGGATGAATATTATACTATATGGTTCACCCCACATAGGAATGTATAATATATATACACACACACAAATACATACATATACAGTAAGCTTGCACTAGTGAAGCATAAAGAATAATAGTAAATTAATTCTAGGTGGGGTAGGAATCTTCCGTAAAGATTTCTAAAATTCTAACAGTGACATGTAAATTCATGAGCATCCTTTAAGCATTTGCAACCCTCTAAATTCCACTGCAATTACCCTCTTCCACATCAGAGTCATCAATATATATTTAAAAAAAGAGAGCACGGAGTTTTTAGAATGTGCCTAAACTATTTTCTTGTCATACTACTGACAAATCATTTTATAGCCTCTTAAAGTTCAAACCCGTTGCCTATTGGTCGGGCTATAAGCAACAGTTTTGTCTTTTGTTGCCATAGATTATAAAAAATCATTGCCAAACATATTCCACGCCTAGAAATCATTGCCTGACCGTTATCTATAGTTATGGGCATCAATTCTTCACCATATGGCGGCAATTTTTGTCAGTTACCTTAGATCAAACATATTGTAGTATGTCTTACTGAAAGTGTATTGTATTTAATATTCATCGATCTGAAATTTGAAAGATATATATATATATATTATTATAATATATTGATTAAGTTTTGTTATCATGAATCTAATTGTTCTTGCTTTTCTAAAGGCTTGGGAAATATTTCTTGATTACAAATCATTCAATATCTAATATACTGGCTAATTAATTTGATTCAAATTACGATTGAAAAAAGAAATTCAATCAATTTTTTTAAAAAAAAAAATTCATTGTGTGATGCAGGATAAAGCCTAATTTAGGATTGATAGTTGAAACCCAACCACTTTTTTATACATACTACTACCACTTACTCTAACATGAGTTAGTAGTCTAAGAAATATGTTATTAAACAAAGTCAGATGGCAAGGAAAAGAATGCAACGCTAAAACATCTTGTGGCTGAATTAAATTCTGTTTAATTAATTATATTTTGCAGGCTAATGTTGTTACTTTTCTTTTACTAAAAGGGTTTCCCCCTATGTAACTGGATATTCTATCAACTCTAATTTGTCTGTGGCATATTTTGCTTAATTAAATCCAGCTGTGATTCCCAAAAAAAAAAAGAAAATTGCAAGAGGATTTTCTTTTTCTTTTTTTAAAAATGTTTTTAATTAGTTTGGTACAGTGGTCAATTTATACTAGTATTTAAAAGTAGATAAATCAGTAGGCCTCTCACATTCTAATTAGACACAAGTAAATTAAAATTAAGGATGTATATAGTATATAGTTGGACATGGCTTTCATTTTTAGTATAAAATAAAAACTTAACATACTTTTTAGTATATTACATGGAGTATGATGAATAATTCAAACTATTCATGACTTGTAAATAACAAAATTTATTACATATTTAATATTTAATATTGATATTGACATCAATAAGTGAATCCCTTGTAAATATGTAAAATTTGATTTATAAATTATATTATATTGTTCTCAATCCATATAAATTTTTCCAGAAAAATAAATCCACATAAATGTCATAATTTAGAAATTTCATAATTTATACTAATTTTAATGTTGAAAGTGATAGTCACCAAACTACTAAACTAGACAAAGCCTATCACTCCAACAAGCTAATGAACAATGTACTTGTGGGTTCAAATATTAAAGGTAGGTATTTCGTTTTGTATTCTGTTAGAGATAAAATTTATTCATCTCTCTTAAAATTTGATTAAATTATATTTACTATTTTTGAGAATTTAAAATATCCTACTCTTTGTTAAAATTAACAAATTTCAAGTATATTTTTTTGTCATTCTCCCTAACCTTTATATAGTATGATTTTTTTAAAGCAAAAAATAATATCCTACTAAATTTCAAATTTAATTGCCTTTAACTAAAAATACTAAATTGGGAGAATTTTAGTATAGAACCACAATAGCAACTTTATTTCAAATAGATCATAAAAATTCTAAAATTACGTTGCATAACCAGATTATTAAATTGAAATTATGTTTTGTAAGAAAATGACCAATATGCTTTTCAATTATTATTTTTTTAAATATCCATCCATGGTCACCAAAGCTCTAGGGGAGCCAGACCACTAGCGGTGGTGACCAAAGCTCCAATAGTCACTAGAGCTCTAGCAACTAGAACATCATCAGCCATTGGATGGTGGGCAAAATAATTTCTCAAAGGTGACCAAGAGTTTTGACCCATGACCCTTACTTCACCAAAACTAATACAACCACCAAGCCATTAATAGTTCTTAATTATATAATGCAAAAGCTTATATATAAAGTAAACCAATTTTTCAAATAAAAGTATGAGTGAACATATTATTTTAGTAATGTTACTTATTAGTTCAATAAAGGAACTTGTTTATCATACATTTTTCATATTCAATATTATTTTTTCACATTAAATAGATTTGTTAAAATTGTAAGTCTAAACTTGTTATTTCAATGATGTTACTTGTCAATTAAATAAAGGAACTTGTTAACACCACATGTTGCCCATTCAATCTTATTGACTTGTTACAATATGAAATGCACTTGTTAAACTAGTAATTTAACTTGTCATTTTACTAAAGTTAACTTGTTGATTCATTATAGGAACTTGTTAACAATACATTTTACATATTCAATATCATTTTATAATGACATGATGTAGACTTGTTAAAATCATAACTAAACATATTATTTTAGTACCGTTACTTGTTAATTTAGTAAAGGCATGGCCATGTCTAGTGTTAGGCCGTTAATGTTATTGCCTTAGACTTAAAAAGATCTTTTCTTACACCCTATTTAACTAATAATTATTTGTTTCTGTTAAGCATTATTGTTAATTACATATTTTTATTAAGTAATTCATTGCTTGCTTATAGCCTATATAGAATATTATTGACAATATATCAATAACAATTGCTACTACTGAAAGAAGTTTTTCAAAGTTAAAATTGCTTAAATCTTATTTAAGATCAACCATGTTACAAAACAATAGATTAAATGGATTAGCTATATTTTCTATTTAAAGTGAAATGATATAATTACTTGATTT